GCATCTTGTGCACCGAACTAAACCGAAATTGACCGCTTCAACATATATTGTATTTATAATATATATATATATATGTATATATAACCTAATAATATAATGATATTAATAAATATAATAAATTATTGACATTAATTAATTAACATTCTCATCTTTATAACTTAAGTTTGTAAATTCTTATTATATATATTCTTAACTCTAATCATTATTCCTGAAACCTTAGTATTTTTTTAACTATTTTTTGCTTTTATTTTTGTTAATTTATGAATTGAAAAGTATTTATTAAATAGATGGATTAGATATGTTTAAAATGGTGGACAAATAACTAATTTAATATTTTTATACAAATTAATGATTATATTTAAAAGTGACTCAAGTTTAAAAAATTCTAAACTGATTAAACCGCACTGAACCGAATTATTTCAATCGGTTCAGTTCAATGTACTTTGATGGGAGAAGCAATTTGTATCAGTATTCAAAATAATAAAACTGTCATTATTGATTCGGTGAAATTTTTCACTTAAATATCAACTGTACCGAACTGGTTACATCCCTAATTGCCGATCATATGCAAGTTTTTGGAGTATGTTGCTGTTATCTCCCCTCGTGTGAGGCGATTGGATTGCTTTCCTGTACTCATAGCACATTTGAATTGTTTTTCCTCCCTGCACGTTCGTCCGCAAAACGTGAAAGTGGTGGCTCCAAGTTTGATTGTTGATTATTTTGATCACTTCGCCTGTGTGAGAAAAAGGAGAAAATATCTATACAGGCCATATAGGTATCTAAGTGGGGTTTGATAAAAGGCTATTTGATCGAATTTTCAACAAGCTTGTGTGTTATATATGATTATGAGGAGAATATGAATCAATCAAAGCCAACTCGCTCCTCCGAGAGAATGGTTGCGCTTACAGTAATTAACAAAAATAAAAATTCACCGGAAGGCAATTAATTACCCAAATTCCTTTGTTTTATGATTCCCCTTTTAAAAACCATGCAACTGATTTGAAAACAAAATGTGATTATCAAATGTGATTACCACTCCTATGTAATTTTCTAACTTTACACGAATATATATTTGTATATTTTCATGTTCTAAAAATAAATAAAATAAAATGAAAGTCTTTGTCAACTCACATGTCATTGCTTTTCGAATTAAAAAATAAATTTAAAAATAAAAAAAGAGAGAGGAAAGAAAAGCCACTCAAGTGCTTTTGGAAATGTTTCGATAATATTTAGTAATTTTTTAATTGAAATATAAGGTAAAAAAAAAATTTAATATGTTTAAGAATTGACTTTTTATTTTATTTTTTTTTAAATGTATAAATAATGACTAATTTTTTTTAAAACTTTTGTTGTGTGTGTGTTTTTTTTAAAACTTTTTAAATAATTTTTTTGATTAAAATAGTCGCTTACTAAACGATTTCTAGGGTTTTTAAAAGGAAAAAAAGTTTAAAAACCTTTTAAATTTAACAACTCCGACGTATTACTAGATATGAAATTAGAAATCATGTTTTAAAAATCTCAAAGATATCTTTTAACAACTCGTTTGGATTGAGTGGTGGTTTGAGAAGAAAAGAGAGAAATGCGTCTATCTTAGTTTCTATAACTTGTTTTGGATAAATAAAGAACAGAAGCATCGAGTGAAGTAGAAAAACACTCATTTATGTTATAACCTTTATTTTCAATCACTTCAGAACAAAAGATAAATAAAATTAAAAAAAAAAATTGCTCATTATTATTTTTTTTTATAATACCAAAACTACTTTTATAGATTTTTTTTTTTAAAAAAAAAAAAACTATTAAAGGATTATTTTAATGATATAATATGAAATAATTTTTTTTGAGCGGATTACACAAACAATCCTTATAATTTGAGACTTGTGTTATTTTCTCATTTGTGATACATTTGACCCTGAATTTTGAATCTTATTCTAAATAAGAAAAATAAAAAATGTTTCCTTTGCAAATAATTTATTTCAAAGGCAAAATCGTCATGTAACTTATTTTGTGTTGATTAATCTGTTTTTTATTTGAAACATAATGGCTTTTTCTCTAATGAATAATGTTGGAACTTTATTGGTTATAAAGTTTTTTAATTTAGTTTTTAGAATCTATTTTCAAAAAAAAAAATTCTAAGAAATTAAAAATTAAATAGTTGAAAAAAAATAAAACCACATCATTTTTATATAATTTTATCTTTTGGAAGGATAGAAATCATTTTTTATATATATTTATTTTCAGCAAATTAGTTTTTATTTTTTCAAAAATCAAATGTGATGACAATTTTGATGTCATTGTTAAACCAATCCATTAAATCAAAAAATTCAAAACTAAAAATATTTCATATATTAAACATATTTTTTTTTTTTTGATCAGCAAAAGAGAACCTTTATAGATGCAAGAACCATACAAAACAAGAAATTACATCAACAAAGGAGGGGAAGAGCAGCAAGCTAGCTCACCCCCAGGAGTTTGGTGAGGAACCAAACTCCAGAAGAAGAAAAACAAAGAAGAGAACAACAATGGGAAAAACAACAGTCCAACATTAGACCAACCTCAAAACAGCAGCAAAATACATCATCTACCAATGCAAAGCACACCAAAGCAATCAAATAGGACCTTCACTGCAACCAGAAGCTTACCCAACACAAACAGATCAACTTAGAAGTGCAGAGCTCCCAGCAGAACAACACAAACCACACTGCAGTGCCAAAAAACTGCAGCAAAACAGACCCAAGGCAGCATAGAACTATAGCAGATTAGAGCCCAAGCAGCATAGAGACCACGGCAGTATAGCTACCAGAACACTGCAATGCAATGCACTACAATGCAGATTACACCAGACCACTCAGCCTTCAGCCCATATGTCTGCAAAAACAGATTCCAAAACACTGCTCCACCCCTGATCTGTCAGCAGATGAACCTCTACAACCAGAACCTTTCTGCCATCTTATCTTCACCTTGAGCTACATTGCCTTGCAACAGCCCAACAGATCAACATATTGATTACACATTAAAAGCCTAATAACTATTTATTACATGATAACCATCCAAAAATATCTGACAACAAATACAACAATCTATTAAATGATAATCATCCTAAAATATCAACAAACAAACAAAAAAATCACCCATTACATAATCATCATCCAAATGCACACAAAATTAATTTAGTAAAAATATAAAAATAAAAAATAAAAATATAAAAAATTTATAATTTTTATATGATTTTATCTTTGACGGGTAAAAATAATTTTTAAAGATTCAAAATAATTTTTTGATATTTATTTTTATCAAACTAGTTAATATTTTATTAAATTTACGAATTTACCCTTAAAATAGAGTAACAATGTCTTCAATTGACTTTATTTAGAACGATATTCAAAACTCAAGATTAAATATATCATAATTAAAAAGTTACACACATTCTAAACTATAGGGATCGTTATTGTATTTTGTCCTCTCTTTTTTTAACCAAACAAAATAAGAGAGATTTTTTCTTTGAGTTATGTTAGGGACCCTAAATAAATTATCAAAATTTCCACCAAACCTCTCATATTGGTGTGAGACCTATGCACATGTGATTTGTATAGGTTCCACACACATGTGAGAATTTAGTAAAAAATTTGATAATTCATTTAGAATCCATAACATTTTCTTTTTTCTTTTCTTTTTGCTTCTGTTTATCCAAGCAAAAGGGACTGTTTCTTATATACGAAGATCATCATCATCAAGAAAAAAATGTTATTTAAACTCTAGCTAGTTTTATGGACGTGCATAATGTTGAACATTTAATAAAAAAATTGATAATTCATTTAAAGTCCATAACATTTTTCTTTTTCATTTCTTTTTGCTTCTATTTATTCAAACAAAAAGGACTCTTTCTTATATACGAAGATCATCATCAAGAAAAAAATGTTATTTAAACTCTCGCTGTTGTTCAAAAAATAAAAATAAAAAACTCTCGCTAGTTTTATGGACGTACATAAGATTTAGTTTGGTTTGATTTACGTAGAGAAATAAAAAGAATCAGACATTTTTTTTTCTTTATTTCTTTGAGAGAGAGAGAGAGAGAAGAAGAAGAAGAAAATTATATGGAGGAACAGATCAATATGTAATGGTAAAAGAAAAGAAACTTGATTGCTAGAATTACAATGTGAAGCAAAAAAATAATACTAGATCAGATGTCAAACATTAATTTCTTATGCTACGTTTAATTCATGAATTTAGATAGAAATTTAGAAAGGGAAAGAAAAAATACGCGTGAAATGTAAATAAAAGCTACATTTCACACCTGTACACTTTTTTCCCTTTTCCTTTTGAAATCTTTACTCAAATTCATAATCCAAACTCAACCTTAAGATTTACAGTATCAAAGTGATCTGATATACACTAAGGTCATTAAAACAAGTGATAATATATATATATATATATATAAACATACAAAAGGGAAAACATACATATATTATTTTTTTTTTTTATCAGCAAAAGAGAACTTTATTGATGACGAAAACATACAAATACATATGAGGTGAACATCAATAAAGAGGTGGAAGAGCAGAAGGAGCACCTGGAAACCCGTTCTTGACAAGTTCAAACAGAAATTGTCCACATGGAAGAGAAGGTTGCTATCCTTTGCCGGGCGCCTAACATTAATCAAATCTGTATTGTCCTCTTTACCAATCTATTATATATCCTTGTTCAAAATTCCGGCTGGAGTGGCTAAGGAGATTGAGAGATTGCAATCAACTTTTCTTTGGGGTGGCTCAGATCTTCGAAGAAAAGTTCATATGGTCCGGTGGGAGGTAATTACTAAAAATAAGAAATTAGGAGGATTAGGTGTGAGGAGGATTATAACGTTGAATCAATGTTTACTATTAAAATGGTGGTGGAGATTTGGTGTGGAGAATCAATCGCTTTGGAAGGAAGTGATTTGTGCAAAATATGTGCCAGTGGATGGAAGATGGTTCCCAAAACTGTTTGGTCGAGGTTCAAAACTCTGGACTGATATAATTCATACATATATTATTATCCCACCACAAATCAACAATTGCTTGAAAGGGGAACCAAAAAACAATATTTATATATATAACTTTTCTCACTCTAGCTTGTCAACTTCAATTTCATATTGTTCACCAGATGAAAGGATTTTTACACTAACCATACCTTTTTGCCACTCAGAACTTCCCACCAACACAAGCCTCCGGGCATTTATCCGTGCTGCCCGTTTGAACACCCTACCAAAGGAGGATCATAAAGATATATATATATATATATATATAAGTGAATACATATTAGGAAGCATGTAATATTGATTGATGCAAAACCTTTTAAACATTAGAAAGATGAAATTATGTACCATTTAAGTGGTTTGTTCTCCAACACCAAATCAACACTTTGGCCTTTTTCCCTGAGAATGGTAGCAACAGCAGCAGATGCATCTTGAAGATCAGGATCCAGATGGCACACAATGTTCTCTACTTGCTCACCTATTTCTGGAATAAGCCCTTTCTCCTTGAGCAGCTAACCATTATTAACCAAGAGGAAAAAATGTAAGATTTTTTAAAAAAAAACTGAACAAAGTTGCATTAAAATATTTCAAAATGAAAGGCATCCTCAAACAATGCCTCGTGTATTGTTGCAAGTAACAGAACTCATTCGCTGATTTGAGTAAATATCAGCAACACAAAATTACCTTGTTTAATACATTTTCAAATTTACACCAATGTAGAAAAACAACCATTGAACAAAACAGACAAAATATGAAGCTCTCATTTCCACTTGACTTTCAATAGCACACGTTACTTGTAACTTGTAAGGCTGCCCATCTATCCCACCAAAGATTTTGCCTAGTCACTGGTTAAGAATCTCAAGTTTTCCCATAAATTCTAAAATCAAAACAAGTTAGAACTGCATAATTTTCAACTATTCCTTCTTTATAAAAAATGTAGGTTAAGATATTACAGCTCCGTGTATGCCAAGTTATGTATGTGCAAGGCGTGCAGCACTAACTTATGCTATTCTTCTCTTATAAAGTAGTCAACTTGACATCATGATATGATATGCTGAACGGGAATCTTGACCAAGTTTTAAATATGGTTCATATGAATCACAAATATGTAGAGGAGGTTCATTACAATAATAAAGAAGTTCAATAATTTTCTACAAGCGCGCGCGCGCACACACATATATATTTAAATGTATTACATATATACACGTTTATGTACAGAATGGAATAAATGTAAAGTCCTATGGCAAACATGGAATAAGAATATAAGGCTTCAACTTACTTCTATAATTACTGCATCACCGAATCCAAAGCCACAGGCAGGAATGTCATCACCCCCAAAAGTAGAGAGTAATCGGTCATACCGCCCACTGTAACGCCCTCAAATTAATAACATTAAACCCATCAGATAAGACAAGCATTTACATAATAACTGACCACATTCCTTTATTCATTAGAGTTCCCTCATCTAAGTCTCTATCAAGCGAGACAAACCCATTGTGATACTAATCACTTCCCACGTACCCAAAGTATTCGAACCCGGTACGCTCTGATACCAAGTTGTAACGCCCTCAAAAGAATGTAACATTAAACCCAACAATTAAGACATGCGTTGATATATAAACTAACCACATTCCTTTATTCATTAGAGTTCCATTACATTAGTATTACATGTTAACATCAAACAAAATGCCCTACGGGCTTACAGCTTTCCAAGTCAACACTTGGTTACAACAAAGGAGTACTAACTCGTACACATTAAGCCCTTGGCTTGAAGTTACATGTAATACACCAAAAAGTAAAACGACAAAACTGTGTCCGCCTCTAGCCTCCCAAGCTATGTCCTTGGAGGTGGCATGCTTCCTGCACCTGAAAATGATATTCCCATATAGGGTGAGCCACAGCCCAGTAGAAATACACTAAACCAACCATGAACAATGACTAAAAGATTAGCAATTGATAGATGGCCAACACTGATACAGTCACATAAATTACACATTTATGTCATACAACTTATGAGTCTAAGTTACCTTTCATTTTCCCCCTTTCAACAGATAAGCATGCTAGCTCTATCATCGTTTCCACAGATATGTATAAAAACTATATCTCACATTCAGATAAGCATAAAAGCTATATCCACATTCTCAACAGATATGTATATCAACAATATCCACAGATAAGCATACAAGCCGTATCCACATTCTACAACAGATATGTATATCAACAATATCCACAGATAAGCATACAAGCCGTATCCACATTCTACAACAGATATGTATACCAACAATATCCACAGATAAGCATACAAGCCGTATCCACATTCTACAACAGATATGTATACCAACAATATCCACAGATAAGCATACAAGCCGTATCCACATTCTACAACAGATATGTATACCAACAATATCCACAGATAAGCATACAAGCCGTATCCACATTCTACAACAGATATGTATATCAACAATATCCACAGATAAGCATACAAGCTGTATCCACACTCTACAACAGATATGTATATCAACAAAATCCACAGATAAGCATACAAACTGTATCCACACTTGGCCTCAAACGGTGCCATACCGATACTAACTTGATAACTATTATTGTCAGTTGTCTCTCTAACAATCTTCGGACCCAACAATGGTGCATCTCCTACCTCGGCGCAACAAACTGGTGATCTGCAAGGTCGGCCATACTTGGCCTCAAACGGTGCCATCTCGATACTAACTTGATAACTATTATTGTAGGCAAATTCAGTCAATGGTAAATGCCTCTCCCAAGAAATCTAGGACACAAGCTCTAAGCATGACCTCTAAAATCTGAATAGTACATTCCGACTGCCTATCGGTTTGAGGGTGATAAACGGTGCTAAAAGTCAACATAGTTCCCAATGCCTCTTGAAGGCTTTGCCATAACCGGGCAGTGAAACAAGGATCCCTATCCAATACGATGGTTACTAGAACCCCATGAAGTCAAACTATCTTTCTAACGTACAACTCTGTCAAGTGCTCAACTGAATCGTTGGTACACATCAGAATGAAATGCGTAGACTTAGTCAACCTATCAACAATCACCCAAATGGTGTCATTGCCCGCTGTGTCCTATGAAGCCCAACTACAAAATCTATGGTAACGTGTTCCCATTTCTACTCGGCTATTGGTAAGGTTTGTAACAAACCCACTAGTCTTTGATGTTCGGCCTTCACTTGTTGACATGTAAGGCACTTGGACACAAAGGATGCGACATCTCGCTTCATACCCCTCCACCAAAACTAATGGCTAAGGTCACGATGCATTTTGGTGCCTCGCGGATGTACTGCAAGGCATGAGTGATGGAACTCCCGAAGCACTTCCTCTCTGCAAGACTCAAGTACAAACAAACGGTCTAGGTAACGTACGCTCTGATCCGAGTGAATGTTAAAACCCTTTTCTTCCTTCCCATTGGAGATTCTATTACGAATTAACTCTACTTCACGGTCCCCTTGTTGTGCCTCTACAACTTCGCTAATTAAGACAGGTTGAGCACTCAAAGTAAACAATGTTGCACCCTCTTCGGACTCATTCAAATGCAATTCAAACTGGCCTATATCCCCAAACTTAATCCATTCTTGAATGGCCACTGTAGACACCCCATTTTTGACCATCCTCAAGACTTTATGAACATAGATGAAACTTTCACAATCCAAATAATATTCTAGAAAAAAGAAAAAAAGAATAGAAAAAAAAAGAACATCAGAATAAACCGTAAAACCAAATACAAATCAACAATTACCTTGCCATGAGAGAACAACAACACTAGGTTGTATGTATGAGCAATTACTTCATAGTTGCCAAGCATATTTGCAGGAGAGATGGATTGTGCCCAAACTGAATAAAGCAAGAGGCTTATCTGACGGTTACTCAACCTAAGAGAATTTACTTCCTGGTATTGAAAGAATAAAACAATGGTCATATGAGTCAACAATCCAAAATAGATGTGACTTATTGTGAAAAATATTTTCTATAAAAACAAAATTATTTTTCATTAGTCATGAAAAACATTTTTTATTAATTTTTATCTTCATTATACCAAGTGTAGAAAATGCGTACCCAAACAAACGAAGCATTAAAGTACACTAACAAAGACTTCATTTGGGAAGTGAGTTGACTTTTTGGCTTTTTTAGCCTGAGGTTAAAAAGCCTCATTTAGGTTGGGTTTTTTGACTTTTTTGATTTTTGTGAGAAAAAATAAAATGATTATAATTTGGTTGTGACATTTTGTCTTATTGCCTTTTTAGCTTATTTTATCTTTTTGTGACTATTTTAGTAAAAAAGGCAACCCAATCAATACACCAAACGAGGGCAAAATTGTCAAACTAACAATTTAGGAGTTGACAAAGCCAATTCTTAAAAAGATAATTGCCAAATAGATTTCCCTTTCCTATTTGTATTTTTGTTGTGTTCTCATAAGAATTTCTTGGAAACTCCCATCACCCAACCTATAAATCTTAAAAATCAGATTTTAATGTGGCATGTGTAATATTTGCTATTTATGGTTGGAGCTATTTTAGTTATAAAAAGATAAAATAGGTTAAAAAGTTAAAAAGACAAAATATCATATTCAAATGATAATCATTTCAATTTTTTTTTTCCCTTACAAAAGTCAAAAAGTTCATCCCAAACAAAACTTTTTAGTCCAAACTAAAATAGCTAAAAAGCCAACCCACTTCCAAAACGAAGGCTAAGTGTAACGCCCCCAAAATACACAATACATACAACCCAAAACATAAATTAACAATCGCATAAATCAAAGTAAATAGCCCTTTCATTATATGAAGTTAAAGATACAAGAGAGTTCAACGTGACAGTGGCATGGCCCTGTGGAAACAGCAGGACATGTCTTGAGTTAGCACAATAGATGTCCCACTAAGTCAATCTTACTCATTCACTACATCGCTATTTTGGCATTTCATTAAACAACAAAAATAGAAATAAAGAACAAAGCATATATAAAAATATAAAAAGTAAAAATTTAAAAAACAAAAAAAAAGAAGTAGAAGAAGAAGAAGAAGAAGAAGCACCATATATAGGCAAATTAAATGTAATTCCATCCAACCTACAAAAATATAAGCATAATAGTTGGTTTGGATGCTAACCTCCTTCAATGAGAGAAACTCTTTTCAAGGAAAAAACTAGCTAAAAACTTCAGTCTAGAGCCTCTTGACTGAAGTTCTGCAAATTTTAACAAAATCTACCGTGGACTACTAGATTACCACATGTCATGGAAAAAATTATTTTCTGGCAACTAGGGGGTGCAGAAAGCTAGCAGTGGAACAACTTCCACCTAGCAGACAGTTGTTGGTCGAGATGGTTTGTAATAATTTTTTATCAAATAAATATAAATAATTGTTAAAATACTACAAAAGAGGA